TTGATGGCTGTCTTGTCTGAATACCAAGCTTCCAGGAATTCCCTCGCATTTTTGGATTTAGCTTGGTCTAAGATGTATCATTTCAGGGAAAAGTAGACATATGGGGATGGGAATATTTTATTTTGGCTTCATATCACCTCCTAGGTAATTTCCTCGTCATACACTGCTACCAGAATAAGAAAGAAAAATAGATACAAGTAGTCCTCGACTTACAACCACAATTGGGATTGGAACTTCTGTTGTTGAGTGATGTGGTCGTTAAATAAGTCATGCCCAATTTTATGACCTTTTTTTGCTGCAGTCATTAAGCAAATCACTGTGGTCATTAAGTGAATCTGACTTCCCCCATTGACTTTGCTTGTTGGAAGCTCCATGGGAAGGTCGCAAATGGTGATCATGTAACCCCGGGATGCTGCAACCATAGTAAATACACACCAGTTGCCAAGCACCTGAATTTTGGTCACATGACAGCGGGGACACTGCAATAATTGTAAGTGCGAGAACCAGTCATAAGTCACTTTTTTCAGTGCTGTCATAACTTCAAATGGTCGTTAAACGAATGGATGTAAGTCAAGGACTATCTGTATATATTGACACCACTGGTCACATGTTGTTCAGAACTGGTTTATATCTTCTGATAGCAGACGCTGAAAGTTTTGTCATGTCTCTGATATTTAAGGTCAAATGTTTCCCAGTTGGAAATGTACCATCTGGCTGTCTTGTGATTGTTATGTAGAGCCTTCATTTTCATGCTTACTTTATTCTGAAAGGATTAGCTATACAGAGCTGCCCTGCAGTGAAAAATTTGGAACTCTGAAAGCATAAAAATTGTTTTTATGATGAACAGCACTGAGGCTGAAAATATCTGTGTGTGCTGTGTGTTTGTGGTTATGAAAAACCAGAAACACAACTGTCTAGAAATGATGATTTAAGAGAAAAGGAAAACAAAATTGGCCTACTTTAACATACAGATGATTCATTAATGTCAATCACTTCTGGACAGGAAATAAAAAACAAGATTCGTGGTTACCCAACATGAAACAGTACAAACAGTGTACATATGTCTGCTTTTTTGACTGACACATTAATCAATTAAAGATTTTTGTAAATAGTTTGGTAGTGAACACAAGACTAATTACACCATATTCCATAATCTCAGAGTGCTTTTACTCCATCCTGTTGCTATGTTGTAGAAAAATCAGTACACTGTAGTTTTCCAGCTACTTGTGATATTATGCACAAAGTAGTTGTAACTTTTTGAAAAGTAAGATATAAGGCACTAATTGGCAAATTGCAGAAAGACATGATCCTGAGATTAATGATTGTTCACTATTTGGCTTACAACATGTAGTTATTTTTCACAATTTATTTTGTTCTATCTTGTTTAATGTTATTTATTGACAACTGTTTCCCTGTTCTTTGGAGTTTGATTGGTAACAGAAAGAGCAGTTTCATGCTTCATAACATCAGATATAACTGGTGCGATCTAAAAGCACCACATCCTTCCTAACTCTAAATTAGGTTATATATTTCCAGTACATTTCTAACATACAATGTTTTAAATATCAACAGAAATATATCCACAGAATACTACAGAATCCCTTTTTGTTCCAACACTTTAAAAAATTATTCTGGTATCTAGAAAAAATACATCTGCTTAACTGAAGTTGTACAGAGGAACTTTTAAAAGTATATGAGGGGTATGAATTCAGGAAATCAGGACTATAGAAATGGAGCTGCAGCTAGATTTTTTTGAAGCAGACGGGACTCAGATTTGAATGTTAAGGCTTTTAGATTAGAGTGTGATCTTTGATCTGGTTTGCTACTTGATACTCAGGTAGTATCCAGGGATAGGAGTGCATTTTCTATACCATAATACTTGTTGATGTATCTTACCACAAACATCTATGTTTTTATAACCTAAATGGATTGTATTTTTAGAAAAAGTGATAAGTTACTGTGTTAAAAGTAAAAGAAAGAAATATAAGACTGGTTTATTTGATTAAGATTAAAATATACATGTTATTTTTGGTAACTCTTAATGGACTTTTGGTGATCCTAACTTAATGACAAGACTTTATAATTTGTTTATAGATAAGAGATGAGATATGGGAAGAAGAGTTTGTTTGTT